TACTTACCCAAACTTTGGGATGAGTTGGTTCATCGGCGTCCTCTAAGTGTGAGTCGTCTTTTGATCCTTCTATTTCTAGTGTCCCTTTGAACTTCTTCCTGAAGGTGTCCTCGACAGACGTCGTTAACTCTACCTCGTTAGAATCAGTTTCAGCTGTGACTTCCTGAACTAAATTCTACGGTGATTTATTGGCATCGTGTCAAATAACTAGTCGTTACTTTGGCTGAGTTCAAAATGAATGGAGTCGCAGTCGACCGGGTTGCAAGCTCTGAACTTGTAACGGTTGCCAGGCGACTGATTGTGAAGGAGAATCTGGCCTTCCGTTATGGTGTCCGCCGATGACCGCAAGGTTTTCGTAAGCCACAGCTTTCGGGATTCATTTTGGGTCACTAGGACATCCGTCCATTCGTTTTGTCCTTTTTTTGCCGTTAGTAGCCGAAATTCAGGCAGAGGATAGGAATGAAGACGGAAGTTTACCGAAAGCTCATCTTTTGATTTTCTTTTTACCTGAAAGTGCTGAAAAATCGGAGGACCTAAATTAATCGCTAATCGATTAACAAGTTCATTACTTAGCACTCATGCGCTGAATTATACTCACCTTTAATAAATAGCGGAATGGCTGTCGCTTGAGGTAGAAACCCGTCGTGCAAACAAACTATCCAACCTGATATGTTTGACTTCACGTTGTTCACCGAAAGTACGGCAAGACTTTCATTCATGCACCTGAAATGGAAGCCATGTGCTGAATATCTTCTTATAGAAAATGACAGATATTCCAAGCGCATGTTGAATTAATATTTATTAGCGACCTTTCCCTGTCAAACGTTTATTACCTGATATGAGTCATCTGGTGTAGAATAGAACGGCTCTCTTTTAGCCCGCTTCCTTCCAAAATGCAAAGATTCAACACCTATACGAAGCGCCCAGATCAACTACTATTTGAGGTTAAAACTTCACAGATCTTTAAATAAAACCAACCTCGAAACAGAGAGCCTGTAATTCTGCTACCCAAGAAAACCCAAGATTTCTTCTGAGCTAATCAAAAGGTCATCGACACCACTGAGGTATCGAAAATCACCTCCCGTTAAAGCTATAAAATATACTGCAGAAGGATAAGCGATTATTGGCATCACGCAGCATCTTGGTAATTGGCAGCTCAAATAGAAAGGGGTTCCAAGCAAGCGTCGTAAGTAGAAATTAGCTTTCCTCATTTAGTTGATGACGTCAACCACGAGATGTCGTTAACCTGTCATTAACAAGGTAATTTACATCTTCAAACACAGGTAAACAGCGTCTGGATTGAATTAATTTTTTCTTTGTTTCACTGCCTCCAAATAACCGAGATCAAGGGGCAATGCAATACATCATCAGGTCTCTCTTTGCTAAGTTCAGGGTGTGCAAAATACTATATTGCAGCGTCCGCGTTATCCTTGTGCTATGTAAGTAAGCTATATAGAAAGAATTTATTTATTCAAGCATTCATTCATCATTAATTCACGATCAAAGCCCCCTCATTAATCCTCTCAGGTCGCAAAGCAGTGGCACCAAGTATTTTTTCCAATGTTACCAACCAGTTCTCTGTTCAGCTGGATAAAGTATCGCATGCTAAAATGCAACATTTCCTGGACATCACATTATCGAAGTGTTCTTTGGGCAGTCACCTGCCGAACCATCTTTCATGTAGCTTTGCCAGGGACCTACTCTTGGATCTTATGTATGGCATCTTCATGGCATGTTCAAACCATTCCAATTTTGACCTCTCGAACTAGGCAAAGAAATTCACAATCGAGATATTTTCTGTCTTCTGTCCGTTGAGTCGCTTTATGCTATAAACCTCGGAAACTCTCATTTCTGTCGCTTATATCCAAGAGCGCACTCCCTTGGGTAACATTATCCACTCATGCCAAAGAGAAGGTAGATGCGTTGGCAGACTTAAAGGCAGACAACTTCACACAGCAGGTCAGTTCCTTCTTCATTAGTTTATATCGGTCTGACTCTGGCATTACGGTGTTCGGGTGGCGATCCGTGTGTGTCTTTTTTTTTACTTCCTGTCTTCCATCCTCTGAACAGAAGAAAGTAATTATTACTATACCACTGTAAGCAAATATTTGCATTGACAAAAGTAATTTCTTGATGATTAATTATTAGCTTGAAAATTAAGTATTCTTCGTTTATGCTGTAGATTTCGATGCATGCTTAGATGTAGATTAATTACATATCTCTGATGGGACTGCTTCGCACATAAATTTTATTACATATTTACTGAAATTTCGAGCCATACTCAGCTCGCTGTCAATGTATAATAGTTAGAACAGATTTGACATGAGTCAAATCGCTATGGTCAAATTTAGTTCCGTAAGGTGCTGAAGAGAGATTAATATTTACAGCGCTTTATTAACAGCTGACATCCAGGTATTGCCCAGATCAATGTCACCGTTTAAACGTCTGCTTGCGTGGATGAACAAAGTTTCTTTGATATTTCTAAATATATATAAATATACGATTTTCAGGCACGGATTGCGATAGTGTACTGTCAATCTATTTCATGCCTTTTGGTAACACAGTTGTTAACAACAAGTTGTTTTATCACTGTACCTTGACCACAAGCTGACCATGACTCGTAAAGGCACTAATTTACGTGATAAAATCTATACGAGAAAAAATCCCATGATAAACATGAACATTATGTGATAAAATATTTTAGAATAAATCAAAAAATTAAAACGAGGCATGTCACCGATTCGTACCACCGGAAGGTGTT